ATTTTTTGGTTGCAGCCGTCATTGTTGTTTGGCGGGTCCGGGCTGGGGATTCAAACCCGCCACCTTAGGTGTACGTGGCTGGCGCCTTAGCCAGTTGAGCTACAGGCGCCGAGCCCACAGATCTTGTCTTAAAAAAGAAAACAAAAAGCACTTGTGCTGGGGGTAAGGCAAAATTTACCAACTGGAGGGCTAAAAAGCAGCAGGACGTGGTGCCTGGACTCCCAGGCCCAGAGGAAAGTTTATCCTGCATGACCAGAAAGGAGCTTAGGGTCTTTGTAGAAAATCCTCTGGGCTGTGTTTGGACCCCTTAGGTAAGGCCTCTTCCTAGCAGTCATCCTGTGACTTTGCCCTCTTAAGCAGAGCATTTGCCCTTGTGACTGGGCCTTGTCTTTGAGGAATGCTGAGCCACTCTGACAATACCTGTCAGGGCCACACATGTCCTCCTGCACAAATGCTCCATAGTGCAATTTTATCCACCCACCATGTCAGCCTCTCAGTTGTCACTTCTCTGTGGACACACCTGAATGTAAGAGGCTTAAGGTGGGGCGGGGGGATAAAGTCTGGGCATGGAGACATGGAAGGCCAGGGGTCTGGGTTCTAGCTCACTTGTGGCTACTAATACCCTGCGGACTTCAGGGAAAGATGGGAAATTTTACTAAGGGCCTACAGCCCTCCAGGCACTATGCTGGGTATTTGGCAAAAGTCTCTAAAAAATCTTCCCAGTGTTGCCACTGGGAGATAAACCTCCTTTTCCCATATTTGAAAGCTAAGTCTCTTAAGAATTCAGGGCTGCTTAAGAGGCAAGCCAGAGTCTGACCCAAGCCTGACTCTGTGTTGCCCTACACATCACCTCCAAAGTCATTTCCCTTTTCTAAGTCAATGTCATCTATAATCACAGACAATGGGCCCCACACTATTGTAGGTGCTGGGGACATAGCAGCAAACAAGGTCCCTGCCCTCATGGAGCCAATAAGCCAGTGGGGTGCTGGATAAAAAGGAAATGATGCATTATGATGAGGGAGCAGGGAGTTGTTACATGTCCTTGCTAGTTAATGTAAGGTAGGAAGGGAAAACCTCTCTCATAAGATGCCACTCAAGCAGAAGTGAAGGAGGCAGTCAGAAGGACATATGAGGGAAAGATGCTCCAAGCTGAAGGAACAGCCAATGCAAAGGCCCTGGGGTGTGAGTGTGCCTAACATTTTGTAGAGAACAACAGATTCATGGGGTTGAAGCAGAGGGAATAAGGGGAGACAAGAAGAGTCACAGAGGGAACAAGAGGCAGGTCCTGCATGTCTTTGGGCAATGGTGAGGACTGACTTTTGTGGGGAATGGAGCCATGGGAGGATTCTGAACACAGCAAGAATGTGATCTGACTTAGGTGTACCGGGATTCCTCTATCAGGAGGACTAAATAGAGTGAGAAGCCCCGAGGGGAAGCTGCTGTGTTCATTAAAGTTGAAGAGGAGAGTGGCTGGGATAAGATGGGGGCAGAGAGTGGGAGAAGTGGTGAGATTCTGGATACTTTCTGAAAGTAGAGCCAGCTGCATTTGTTGACGGATGAGATACTGGGTGAGAGAGAGGAAGTGACTGAACAGCTGGAAGGATAGAGCTTGATACCCCGATGTGGGGAAGACTGGAGAGAAGAAGTAGGCTTAGGGCAGTGGGCATCAGCACTTCGGTTTGAGACATGTCATACTGGAGATGGTTCTTAGATATCCCACATAAAAACGTCACTTGATGATTGGAGACACCAGGAAGAATAACAATAATACATTAATACTGGAATATTTATTATTATATTAACCACCTTATAATAGTAACACTAACAATGACTTATTGAGTTCACACTTTGGCCTTTAGCTCTGTCCTATCCCTTGTTCTCATGGTAGCCATTTGACATATTAGGGATTGTTATCCTCAAAGGGGGAAACAGGTTCAGAAAGGGTTATGAAGTCACCAGGATAACACAGCTAATAAGTGCCAAAGTCAAGATTAGATCTCAGGTCTGTCCAATTTTGAGACCTGACCATTTTCTGATCTGCTGATAGCTTTTTTTTTGGCTGGGGCTGGGTTTCAACCCGCCACCTCTAGTATGTGGGGCCAGCGCCCTACTCCTCTGAGCCACAGGTGCTGCCCTGCTGATTGCTTTTATGGTAAAGAAATTTGATTGAACCAGGTAATCCTTAATTCCTTTTAGCACCAGAGCCTCCAGCATGGCAGTTCTCTGCTTTGGCGCTTTGGAGACAAATCTCCCATGCCCATTAGAATTGGAGGCCCAAATCCAGCCTTTTTTTTCTTTTTTTTTGAGTCAAGGTCTCACTCTGTTGCCCATGCTAGACTGCAGTGGCACCATCATAGCTCACAGCAACCTCAAACTCCTGGACTATAGTGATCTTCCTAAGCCTCCCAAGTAGCAGGGACTATAAGCATGTTCTACTACACTTGGCTAATTAAAAAATTTTTTTTTGTAGGGATAGGGTCTCACTATGTTGCCTAGGCTAGGCTGGTCTCAAACTCCTGGCCTCAAGTGGATGCTCTCATCTAGGCCTCTCAAAGTGCTGGAATTTACAGGCTGAGCCCCCACACCTGGCTAAATCCACACATGTTAAGTCCTGGGTCATCGAACCTAGGGCCTGGCCTCCGCCAAGACTCCCTTTCTGCTTTTGCTTATATTCAGGATGCAGGCAAAGCTTCAGACAGGGAGTCTGCAGCTAAGGGGTTCGTGGCTTTATTTTGTTAGGTGAGGACTCCCGGGCTTTAGGTCGGACGCCAGAACTCCTGGGTTCACACCTAGGCATCTTTTGAGTGTTCTCACCTCTCTCACCAAACTTCTCTTTCCACCGGATTCCTTCCCTGGGACAAAAAGGAAGTAGGCGGAGTTGGTTTTCGGGTTTTTATTGTGGGACTATTTCTGGCTGCGGGACAAGGGCGGTGGGGCAGGCCCTCCCAGAAGGGGGGCAGAGGAGGCCAGGCAGGATCCATGGAAAAGGAGGAGGAAGGTGGAGGACTTCTTTACTCTCGGATCTTCAGTTCCCGCGCCATCTGACAGAGGGCGCAGGGCAGACAAAAGGTGAGCGCCGCCCAGTCGTGTCCGACGGAGCCCTGGAGGGTAGTGGGGGGAAACAGAGAGAGGTCAGCAGCTCTGTTTTGGGTCCCAGGAGGCCAGTCCCAAATTCCCGCTCGCTGGGTCCCGGGCCGTCGCACCTGGATGCGGTAGCGCTCGCGCATGCCGGTGCGGAGCGAGTGTAGGCCTCCCGGCAGGTAGGGCGCGCAGCAGCACTCGCCAAAGTCGTCAGAGATGCGGCAGGCGAGGCACAGAGGCGCAAAAGTGCCACAGAGACCTGGGCGGGGCGCAGGGCGGTCAGGGGCGAGGCCACGCGGGCGACCGCAGCCCGCTTGTCCCCCCCCGCCAGGAGCGCGACGGACACCGCCACCAAGGAGGGCAATCGAGAGTCACAGAGGGAATTGAGTGTTGGAGAAATTGAAGAAGAGGTCCCAGAAGGAACTGGGGGTCCGAGGAGAGGGTGGTTTAGCGATTGGAAGATAGAATGTGAAGGGGGAATTGGAGGTTACGACGAGGAAAGTTGAGTGTGCAAGTGTTGGAGGTGTGGTGTGAGGTCAGGATTCTAGGGAGTGCTGGGGGGGTCCAAGTAAGGGGTGAGGGTTAGAAAGTGGGAATTCAGAGCGCAAGGAATGGAGGTGGGAGTGGGGTTTAGGGGCACTGGAAGGAAAGGAGATGAGTGACTCTCCCCCCCCCCCGCGACCGGTGGGCACTCACAGACGGGCATGTCGTTGCAGCAGTCCGTGAGACCTGTGTGCCAGTCACTGATCTGGGTCTGGTAGCAGCTGCTAGTGGCACACTGGGGCTGACTGGTCACTGGGTAGGACATGGCTGCGGAGGTGGGGGGCGAGGTCAGCTGGCAGCCTGGCGTTGCCCCTGCTACCCTTCCCTCTGCCGGGCAGTCTGGGCTCTGGGCGAGGCCACCAGGCCGCCCACTGAAGGGACTCCACCGTGCTTCCCCCTTCCCTTCTGCCACATCTGGGCATCAACACCCCAGCCTGTCCCTGATGATGCTGCCGCCTGCACAGCCCCTCGAGCTACGGCAGGAGTCTCCTGCACATCTGAGGAAGAGTGGGCACCACATCTGAGTGGGGCCTGGACATGCCACCTCTTCCTTCACGTCTGGGCCTGGGGTGCTGGATTGCGGCATTTCTGGGGCCTCTGGGGTGGAAGCAGGTGCCATCCGTCTTCAAAGCCAGGGTGCCCAGGGGAAGGAGGTGGCCAGTTTCTGAGTACTGAGAGGGTTGCTGGTCCATCCAGCGATCCCACCTTTGCCTTTCACGTTGTCGTGCATCTCAAACTGCATCTTGCTGGCCCTGAGGAGGTGGTGTTGGGGACGGCAGAGGTGGGTGCGGCAACAGCGGTGGAGTCTGTCCAAGGGATGCTGGACACTGGGAGGGGAGGGCAGGGGACTGGGGCACTGGGGTCTGGGCTCTCAGGGGTAGAGGAGCTGGGGAGAAAGAGGCCCCATCAGCCTGCCCGCTAGGAGAGACATGGGACAGGGGACGAGAAGGGGTTGGGGGCGAGAAACTCGCCCTTCTTTACAGCTGCCCGACAGACCCCAGAGGACTGTCCTCATACCAGAGGCAGAGCTGGAGAGAGACCAAAGAGACAGAGACAGGTAGAGTCAGTGATAAGGAGAGAAAGACATCAGAGCCAGGTGCCCAAATAGATGCCACGTGTAATGCCCACAAGTGCCTAGCACTTTGATTCCTCTGCAAGCCCATTTCACAGATGGAACACTGAGTCCAGAGAGATGAAGAGAAATGCCCAACATCTGATGATCCAGGCCAAAGGGGTTAGTAGAAGGGATGCTGGGCCCTAGGACTTCCAAATTCAACTCAGTGCCATTCAGGCTAAGGAGGCATTTAGGGACATTGAGAAAGACAGAGATGTCCAGAGAGGTAGACAGTTGGAGATATGGAGACAGAAATAGAAATGTGAGTGGAATCAGGTGGATGGAGAGCAGAGTAGAGGTACCCAACCTCAGAGAAGAAGGCTACTGGAGGGGTGCACCTACCTGCAGGACCGCAGTGGCAGTGATGGAGACAGAGGTGTGGATGACACGGGCACTGAGTTTTCTGTCAGTGGCCAGGAGCCACTTATATGGGCGGGCCACACGGCCTGGGTGGGGCTCTGACAGAGGTGCCCAGGGAGCCAAGCCGGTCTGGCCCGACCCTTTTGCCCTCACTAGGATTTCCCACCCTCTCTCTCCATTCCCCATCCCCCCACTTCCCCTCCTGCCCCTCCTCCCAGAACCCAGGAAATACTGTGAGTGTATGGGAGGAGGGTTCTAGGGGTGAGATGGGGGTGGAGATGGAAACAGGAGTGGGCAGAAGTGGAGACAGACAGGGAGACGAGGGCACAGCTGGGTCAAGGTGCAAAGACCAAAAGAGGGAGAGAGAAGTGGGGAGGAGATGGGGAACAGAGACTGGAGGGGAGGCAGGGAAGTGGAAGGATGGGAGGGAGACAGGAAGATGTACAGTGAAAGAGACAGAGAGGGACAAAGGTCTGAGGAGAAATAAGAAAAGGGGAGACAGGATTCAGAGAAGGGAGACAGAGCAGGAACGGTAGTAGAAAAGCCTCCACAAAGGGTTAGAGGGAAAGGAAGGTGGGGAGAGGGCAGGGGGAGAGTGTAGTGTGGTATAGGGATCCATTTTGAGGGTCTCTCTCATCACAGAGATGCCCCCCACTTCGTTGGGAGAACCAGGACATTGTCTTCCCAGTCAGGGCCAGGAGACACATGGGGAGCATTGTGTTTTGGGTAGTGACTCATGTTTGAACCCAAGTAAATAAACACACTTCACTGCCAAATTGGGAAGGGAGGAGGCTGGGAACTGAGAAGCCATGGCTCCCAAAGGAGTTGAATGTGGCCTAGGACTTCTGGTTCCTCCCAGAGCAGAGGACTGGGGACTTGGACTCCTGGATCCTCACAAAGCTCAGGACTGGTGGCCTGACACCCGAGTCTCATTTGGTTGCCCTGTCTGAGTAGGATGGGCACCCTGGGAGTCCAAACTGCTGGGCTTCTGAAGGGTGAGGGGCTGGGGGTCTGGATGCCTGAGTCACCAAGGTCTCCCCCCAACAGGCCTGACGGGGTTGAGGTGACTCAGTGAGGGAAGCTGTATTAAAGCTGGGTGGGGTTCACAGGACGGGTGTCACCCAAAAATGTAGGAGGCACCAGAAAATTGGGGTGTCACCAGAAGGTGGTGTCATCACCCCACTGGGTATGGGCATAGGGCGATGGCAGGTGGATCGCCTAGCTGGCCTGGGAGCCCAGCAACATGCCAAGTACCAAGCCTTGGTCTTCCAGCAATACCCAGGTTGCTGGCTCTCCTTGTCCTCAACTTATGGGTGGCACTCATTGTCCTGCCTGTGCATGCCCTCACTTGGTCTGGGAGCCTGAATGTCTGAGGGAGGTCTTCTCCCCACTTCTGTTCTAACATCCCTTTCTGCCATCTCTGCATCTTCATTTCTCCAGCTCTGAATCTCTCTCTTTCTTCCTTCATGTCTACAAATCCATTTCCAAATCTCTGCTTCTCTGTCTCTGCTTCTCTGTCTCTGCATCTCTGGGTTTCTCCCCCTATGGGCTCTGTGTCTCTGTGCTCTTTTCCTGGGGTCTCTGTCTCCTATGTCAGGATCTCTCCTCATCCATCTTTCCCCATCTCTCTCCATTTCCAGGCCTGCCACAGGGCCCCCTCTCCTCTGCTGTCTAGGCTACGGGTGCAGGTGACTCAGGGTTAGTCATCTCCGAGGACTAGAGGGCTCTCAGGATGACATCTGAGTTGTCCTCAAGTTTCCTTTCCCCCCTTCTGACATAGCCTGGGGGCCCCAATTAGATACAGCAACTCACATAGATGAGGAAATCGGGATTGGGGAAGCTGTGAGGTGGCCTGATCAGTGTGAGGAGGAAAGACTGTGAACTGGAAGAGGAGAGGCCTGGGGGGCTGAGGAGTGGCAGTGGTAGTCACTAGGTATCAATGCTCCCTCAAATAAGGGTGCCACGTAAAATACAGGATGCCCAGTTAAAGCTGAATTTCAGATGAACAGCAAATACTTTTTTTTTCTTAGCATGTTTTATGCACTATTTGGACATACTTATACAAAAAAGTATTCATTGTTTACCTGAAATTCAAATTAAACTGGGCTTCCTATATTTTTATCTGCTAAATCTGGAACTCTGCTTTCAAAGATGGAAGAATTCAGGACTTTGGCCCCTTCTTTTCCCACAGCCCAGAGTCCAGGTCCCAATCCCCTTCCTTTCCCTTAGAATGAATGGCACATCCAGCCTCCTACTCCCTTGGAATCCAGGCATCCAGACTCCCAGTCCCTTTCTCCCCATCATGCAGGCATCCAGGCAGGGCTGAGTCCAGTTGCCCAATATGGGTTTCATAAGGCAGGTTGTGCCATCCGTGGCCCCAGTAGAACCGGTCAGGCTGAGAGGACAAGTGAGGTGGCACCCCCCTCTTCCCATCCTAAATCTGCTGTTTCCTTGAGGGCCAGCCCAGAGGGGCTGGGAGTGGAACAGGAGGGACTCAAAGCTCTGGGTGTGTCACTCTGTCTGGGTTTGGGTGTGTTGTGTCTCTGTGTGTGGTTGTGTGACCCTCTGGGTGCTTGTGTCTGTGTGGAGATTGTCATGATGTGTTGTCTGTGGCCTGCGATGTGACATGTGAAGGGGTTGCTTCCATTTGTATGTATTGCCCACCTGAGATTCTACATACTGTGTGCTGGTGTTTAGAGTGTTCTCAGTTATTGTGGTTCTGTCATTCTAACTGGATGAAAGTAGCAATTATTTATTTAGTGGTAGCCTTATGTGATGGACTCTGGAGCTAGAAAGCCTGGATTCAAATCCTGACTGCCTCTTTCTGGCAGCGAACCTCAGGCAAGTCACTGAACTTCTCTGTAGCTCAATTTTTCAGTATGTAAAATGGGTTGTCACAAAGGATAAAATGAGTTGATTGATGTAAAATGCTCAGAATTGTGCCTGGCACAGAGGAAACATTTTGTGCTTATGACTATAATGATGATGGTGGTGATGAGGGCAATGATGTTGTGTTCTTCTAGTTGCTGGGGGATACACAGTACAATAGTGAACTTAACCAAGTAAACTCACAGTCCTTCTAGCAGAGACTGGATGAGTGACCTATCAGTGGCTGGCTGTAATTGCATAGCTGGGGTGTCTGTTTTGCAGGTGGAACGGGATATTTCTTGAGTGTTGTCACTGCCGGGGATTCCATGATTGAGTGCCTATATTTGTGTTTGTGCTTGTAGGCGATTATATGTGCTGTGTGTATAATTCTCTAGTTGTGTGGGTGCAAGTACAAGATGACACCTAACACATGTTGTGAGGGCATGTGGTTGGTGAGATCTTGCATTTCTGACTCTGAGAAATGTGTCCATTTTTGGAGTCTTGAGAACCCCTCTCTCAGCCACAAGGCCACTTCCTTACATGTCCCATAGATGACTCTGGGAGAGCAACTTCCAAAATGAGCCTTAGTTTCTCCCTAATGGGGACTGTGGATCCAATGGCTTAAAAAGAAACAGAAGCATGGAAGAGAAGAGACTGGTGAGACCAGGGAGGGGTGAACATGATGGTGACACAGAAAAAGGTAGCAGGATGGAGACAGAAGAAGACTTCCCAAAGGATGCAGATGTTTGTCTATCCATTCCATGAACTATTTGCTGAGTTCCTGCAGTGTGCCAGGCCCTTAGGGGGGTTCAGGGTGTGATGGGAAGTAGATGAAGACCCACCAGGAAGGCTATTGCTGCCCCAGGGAGACAGGTTTACCTGTCTCCAGGATGGGCCTCCGTGACAGTTCTGAGTGATGGAGATGCAGAGATGGGGAGGCATATCCCATTGCCCCTCCCCAATCTTACCTGAGTTCTGATCTGTCCAGATCAAAGAACAGAGGCCATGGGGGAAAGGCCCTTCCTAAGCTGGGGGCACCCCTGTGAATCATTTTCTTATCATCTACTAATAGGATAATGATACATCTGCCCCTCCTAATCACTATTTTTGACCCAAACCAGGCCCAACGCCCACAAAAAGGGTTAGACAAAACTAGTATTGTGGAGCCAGGGGAGGAAATACTTGAAAGTCCCCATTCTTGGTCCTGCCTTCTCCAGGACCCAGGAGTCCCAGCTCTCAGCCTATCTCCTTTTGTTTTCTGTCTACCTTTTCTTCTCTCTCTTTGGGACTCTTTCTCTTTGTTTATTTCCATCTGTTCTGTGTCTCTCCTGTCTGTTTACATTTGCATCTTGATTCTCCCTCACTGAGTCTCAGTTTTCTCTCTTGTAAGATGGGGATAATCATCATCATCATCATCTGATCTGAGTTAGAGTTGTGATGACGAAGATGTGAGACAATTATGTAAAATGCTTAGCACAGAACCCAGGCCACAGTAAACTCAATTTGAGTGCTCTTATTATTGTTTTATTATTTTTATCTTTCCGATGGTATATATGTTTTTCTCTTTGTCTCATGTGAGTAACAGGTCTCCTCCTACTCTGGGTTCCCTTTTAGAGGTGAGGAAAGGACATATCCAGGCCAGAGCTTCCCCAAGCCCCTTACCTTTCCATCTCTATTCAGGACCCAGAACATTCACCTGGGGGCAAGGCCTGGCTTCAATCCCATAAATAGCTTCATAAAATCCTGAACCCCAAACCTGTCATCCCTGAACAGGCCAGTAACTCAGGAACTGGGAGTCCCCCTTCCTTGCTAGACCCTGCAGATTTCCATCCTCTCCTCCCTCAGATCCAAAAGTTGGGGCCCTCAGTCTCTACTTCCTTGGATCCCCAGCCTCCTCCTCCCTCAGGATCAAGAAGTCTGGGCTCTCAAGTCCCCTTCCTCCCTCAGACCCATGAATCAGGCCAGCAAACAGCCCAGGTATGCGCCACCAGAAACCCCACTCTGCAACCAGCCACACCCGCAGCTACCACCCGCTTCATGCCACTACTGCTCCGCGCCACTCAGGGCGCTTTTCCCTAGTAGGCGTGGCCCACAGCCCAAGTCGGACTGCGATAGGCTCTCGGAGACGTCAGTCGACCTGGAGCCTGCGGGGTCGGATTCCGGGTGAGCTTCCCCAGAAGCCGGAGCGAGCTCGCGAGGGAACAGGTTCTGCGAGTGCAGCCGGGTAAGCACTTTCCAGCACGAGCAGTCTTGGGATTCTGGACATAGCTGGGATGGGAAACGATGAGGCTTGATGAGGCTCTAGGCAGACCGGGGAGCCAGGGCTAGCTAGCCCATTTAGTTTTGTTAGAGAAACTGAACCCCGAATGCACGATCTCAGATATTCATTCCTCCATTCCTCCCACGCTAAGCCTGAATCTCATCTGCCCCTGCCTGTCCTGTTTATCCATCTGCTCAGCCCTTCTAGCCCTCATTAATTCCCTCACTCATTGATTCCCTTGTATAGCCACTCACTCTTTAGCTCACTCACAAACTCACCCACCTATTACTTAGTTAAACCAACATTTCCTGAGGCTTTTGGTGTGCCAGGCCTTGCGCTGGGTAATGGCAGTGACCAAGATGAGTCAGGCCTGGGCCCTGCCCTCAAGAAGCCCGGGTCATATGGGAGGACAGATATTGATGCACAGAGGTGTGCAGAGGTAGGGGGAGGCCAGGAGATCCTTTTTGGGGGTTTGGCATGGTCAGGGAAACGTTTCCCAGGGAGGGACCATTGGAGCTGGATCTTGGAGAAGCAAGAGGTGCCAGGCAAAGTGGAGAAGAGGATGTAGAGTGGGTGTTTCAGCATGAAGAAAGGCAGGGGAGACATGCAGGAGGATACTGCATGCAGGTGCCCAAGTGGGAGGCTAGTCAAGTCTATGTTGCCAGCAGAGGCACTGTAAGGCTGGAAGAGGATAAGGAAAGGGGCTTGGACTTTGTCCTGGGGGAAAGGTAGTGGTGAGTCATGGTAGGGTTTAGAGCAATAGAGGATCAGGTCTGAATTGGGACCAGAACTGGTGGAATGAGTCCAGGAGATGGCTCTGGCAGGGACCCAGCAGGAGAAGATGGAGCCTGGATCAGGGCAGAGGCTGAAGTGATAAGGTAGATTCAGGAGGCAGAGAAAACAGGATATGGGGACTGATGGCTATGGGACAAGCAGGTGTCCAGGATGACATCTAGAGCTCTGGCCTAGGGGATGATGGAGCCATCTCTGAGTTGCAGGTTGGTGGGTGATGACTGTTTTGACAGAGATGAGCAAGGGGTTCTGTAAGCTGGATCAGGGGAGCTGCGACTCAGGCCAGTGGATCTGGACCTTCTGGGAGAGTTCTGGGCCACAGCTTTCTCTCCCATCACAGGCCCTGATTCAGAAGTCACTTGTTGGGTGAAGGAGGAGCTCTGAGGTGAGGGTCCTGGTTTCCCAAAAGGAAACTGCTTCTGTGCTGCTGCATCTTCAATCTGTCCCACCCTGCCAGCATTAAAATGGTGCATCACCTCTAGACACATGCTCCATATATACCCCCTGCATGAGGCTCCCTTTTGGTACCCACTGGCTCAATACCTTTACCTTCCAGTTTCTCTTCAATCCACTACATCTGGCTGCTCACCTGCCATGGCCCCGAAATAGGACTTATGGTCCTGAAAGGTCACTGGGGTCACCTGCTCATTGCTGAGGCTCCAGGTGGACCCCGGACTCCTGCCTGAAATTCCCTTTGCTTTATATCCTCTTCTTTCCTGGTCACCTTCCTCCCTCACCAGCTGAATCTTTCAGCACTCACCTTGCATTGTCCACTCCTTCCTGGGGGTGTTGCCAGCAGGGGAACTGTAAGGCTAGAATACGATGAAGAGGTAGGTAGAGGCTGGGCTGAGAAGCTTGAACTTTGCCCCGTGTTGGAGGATAGTGGGGAGTCATGGAATGATTTAGAGAAATGAAGGACCAGGTCGGAGTTGGTCCGACCAGTTGGTTCTGGTTGGAGGACCAGAACTGGAGGAATGATCCTTGGGATTCTCTCTATCCTGGCCCTGCTCAGCCCAGGCTTCCCTGAATGGTTCCAGTCTCTTGGTTCCACCCAGGTCATTCCTGCCTCCTGCTTCCTTCTGAATGTCCCTCTGGATTGTCTCATGGACATCTACCTTACCATGTCCAAAACAGTCCTCAGCATGCTCCACATGCCTCATGCAAACATACATGCCCTAGCCTCCTGAAGAGACAGCCTCACAATCCACCTGCTTTGCTGGCCAGACCTGAGTGTCATCTTTGTCCCCTTGCTTTCCTGTAACCCTGTCTCTATCCTCTATTAGTTCTATTCATCCAACCTGTTGTGGCTCTGGGATGCCCCATCTATACCCTCTACTTTCCTGGCCTTTGCCCCAGCTCAGGCCTTGTCTTCTCTTGTCCTCAGCCTCCTCCTCTGCCTTCAGGACTTCAGTGTCTTTCAGTGCCCTGAGCAGACCTGGTCCTTTCCTGCTTAAAGCAAGCACTCCATGGCTCCTCACTACCCTCCAGTTATATAGTTCAAACTGTACTCCAGGCTCTTCCGGACCTGCTCCTGCTGACCACTCCAGCTCCTCTCAGCCAATGCCAGTCTACCTGATCTTCTGGCCAGGTAGAAGCTTTGATCTCTGCCCACCGGCTCTCACAAACTGGCATTTTTTTACTGCCTAGGAAACTGCTTATCCTTTAATGTCAAGCTCTAATCACCTCCTCTGTGTAGCCCTTGCTGACTACCACAGATGGAATCCCTGGGGATCTGACAGCCTGTGTCTGCCCCCTTAACTGCCCTGATTCCAGGATCAGATGCCCTTCGAGGGCAGGTCCTGGGGATAAATAATCTCCATTCCAAATCCAGGGTTTACAAGCCACCAGGCCTCCAGAGAGTGGTTCAGGGCAGTCACAACTGGGCAGATCTTGTGTTTCAGTTTGTTGCCCTTGATAGAGTGCCCTGGCATCATAGTTCACAGCAACCTCAAACTCTTGGGCTCAAGCGATTTTTTTGCTTCAGCCTCCCAAGTGGCTGGGACTACAGGTGCTTGCCACAGCACTTGACTATTTTTAGTCAGGTTCTCACTCCTACTCAGACTGGTCTGGATCTCCTGAGCTCAGACAAGCCATATATATGCCTTGGCCTCCCAGAGTGCTGCATTTCCAGTATTTTGAATGGCCAGTTTGTTTCTGGTTTCCTACTAGCTTTTCTCTTGTTCTGCGGGGAGTTTGGGTCACTGAAGCCTTTGAGACACAAGGAGATCCTCTCCACTGCGGCAGATGCTGAGGCTGGATAGCCTTCCACTGAGCCCAGGGAGAATCGATTTTACCGAGCGATTTCAAGGGGGTGGAGCTGAGGATCTAGTTTGCATATACCGGGATTAAGTTTGAGGGGGGAGGTGGGCGGTGGGTCGGTTCGGAGGGAATGGGTTCCCTAGGTTGGTAAGAACGCAGGCAGCACCCCTTTCCAGGTTTCGGGGTTCTCAGCTGCTTGAGTCCGATGCTGCCCCCTGGTGGGCAAACACCCCGCCCTGGCCCTATTAGAGAGAGGCCAAGCTAATTAAATACTTTTATTTACAAAAATCAAACCGACCAGCGGGGAGGGGGCCAGATCCCACCTCTGCGGCAGTCGCAGCAGCAGTAGAAGGCAGTGGCGGAGTGCAGGTCTAGCTGTTCCAGTGACCGGTATTTGTGTCCATCTGCCCCAGGCTAGGGTCTCAGCTTGGGCCCCCGTGCAGCCCTCCTTGCCACCCCTAGCTTAAGGCACACAGCCTGCATCGTCCCCCCACCCCCGCGCCCCCGGCCCAGAGCGCATTCACCACGGAGGCCGATGCAGATGGGAAACAGAGGTCTTTAGTTTAGCCCTCCTCACCCCGCGCCCACAGCTCAGTCTCCCCATGTGGCCCGGTTCTGGCCAGCGGCTCAGACCGGTGGCGAGGCGGGCGGAGTGATGATAAGGCGGATGCGCTCCACACACAGTTCGGCTGCCTGTCGTGTCTCCCGGCATAGAGCCGCGAGGGTCAGGAAGCCGTGCGGCAGGTCCTCCACCACGCGCAGCGTCACGGGCTGGCCCAGGCCGCGCAGTCGTCGCGCAAACATGACCGAGTCGTCCAGCATGGGGTCCAGCGCACACGCCTGCAGGACAGTGGGGCAGGGGGGGGCGGAGGCGGGGGAGGACCGCGTGGGTAAGCAAAAGGAGGGGGAAAACACGGATACAGATGGGGTGGGCAGGCAGGAGAGTTGGGGAGAGAATGAGGAGATAGGGGAAGTGTGGGAAGGAAGAGAGAATAAATTTAACTGGGTTCCTTGGCCTCTGCCCAGCCTCTCCCTCCCCACCCCTCAACCCACCTCTTCTCTTGATTCTCCAAGCCCAGGGGGTGTCCCACTTATCCTGCCCCTTGGTGCTTAAAATTGCAAAGGAAAACAGGTGTACCCCAACTCTCTTCCATTCTTCTCTCCTGCTCCAGGTGCCACACCCTCTTCCTCCCCCTCCTAAGCTTTCTTCCCCAGGTTCACCTATATCCTGCCCACCTCCTCCCTGGACACACCATTTCTGCCTGGTACTCACCACGATGTGCACAGGGGGCAAAGTCTTCAGCATGCTGTCTGGTGCCAGCAGCGGCGACATGAAGGGGTTCTTGACAATGGGTGAGGAGAAGAGGGGCATCTGGGTGGCACCTTGGCTGGTGCGTCGTGGGTGGAAACCCTCCGGGAATGCAGCATGGACACCCTGGCCACTGTCCCTGGTGCCCACCTCATTTCTGGCCTCCGCTTCTTCAGAGGCATCCGCAGGCCCCACTAAGAAGTTGATGTCGGAGGGTTTGGAGGGGCCAAGTGTCTCAGCTGACAGTGACATCTCCGGGGTGTCTGAGGTGTCTGAGCTGCTCCTCAGGCTGAAGTCCTTCAGCGTCTTGAGTGAGTCTGTACCCATTGGGCCCTCAGGCTGGGCAAGCGCTGCTTCAGACACGCTGCGGCGCATTGGCTCTGTGAGGAGGGCAGGGTCAGTGGGCTGGACCCAGCCCCAGGTAAGCCTGGCTCTGTATAGCTGGGTGTGTGGGTAGCAGGGAAGGTCACTGTAACCTCCTCCTGCTGTGGGGGACTATGGAAGCCTAGGGCGTTCCCCTTAGGACTTTCTCCTGGGGGAGGGTATAGTTCTAGGTGCTGCAAATTGTCATAATGGTGGCCTTGGAGGTGGGGCTATGTCCCAGTGGAGGGTGTATGTGTGTAAACATGTCAGTGGTTGGGAAGGTTCAGTGCAAGTTATGTCTGGGAGCCTCAGTTTCTTCTATAAAAAGGAGATAAAAATAGTCCTTAGTCCATAGGTAGTAAGAACTCAGTGGGATAAGATACTATGACCGAGGATATCATAGTATGTCAGTATTAAGGTTTCATTGCCAGGCTGGGTGCCCTGTTCCATCCCCTCCCTAGCTCAGCATGAGGCCCAGCCAACTTTTTATGGCCACTTTGACACAGGCTATCAATGTGATTCCAGGAGCCAGCAGGCCCTATGGCTTGAAAGGAGGCTTTGTTCACAGGGGGCTAACAAGAGTCTGGGGGGTATATTGGATTCCCAGGGATTATGTACCTGTAGCTACAGGGATCTGCTCCCCCAAATTTCTTATATATCTTTTAGTTTTATCACTTCCTTTAGAGTGGCCAACTGCCCGAAGGATGCTAAATATGCACTTTCAGCCTGCCTGGTGTGCCCATGTGGCCTTCAGCTCTATTCATTTGGTCAGACTCAAACTGCTTATCACTTGAACTAAGTAATGTAATGAAAACCTACATTTTCGTTTTCTTTCTTTCTTTCTTTTTTTTTTTTAAAGAGATGGGGATCTTTCGCCATACCCAGGCTGGAATGTGGTGGCATGATCATAGCTCACTGCAGCCTTGAACTCCTAGGCTTAGGTAATCCTCCCACTTTGGCTTCTGGAGTAGCTGGTATTACAGGTGTAAGCCATCCATTGCACATGGCCATTTTCAGTTTTTTAAATTGTCTTACAAATCCATGAGGCAAAATACAAGACAATGTAAGAATAACCACTTAAGTGCTCTGTGACCCAGAGAGTCACTGGAACAGAACTGTTGACACAGAGCACAGGGTGTTGGCATCTTCTAAGAACACCTACTGTATGCCAGGCATTCTGCTGGGTACCTGACACCAACAGGTACATGCAGTACTCACAGCAACCCAAGGGAGGTGCTCTTATTGTACCCATTTCACAGAGGAACAAACCAAGGTTCACAGATACTGTTACTTGCCCATGTTACCCAGCAGCCAGCACATAACTGGTGGAGTGGGGAGCCAGACTGAGATATATGCTTCCAGGGACTGGGCTTCTCACTTGTATCTTATAAGGAAAACTCCAGTGCTCCAGGCCTCAAATTTGGCTCCCTTTTTATTATTTCTGTGTGTATATACGTATATCCATTTGAAGATTCTAAACTTGATCTACAATAAAATATATTGGCCAGGTGCTGTGGCTCATGCCTGTAATCCTAGCACACTGGAAGGCTGAGAGCTCAGAAGTTCGAGACCTGCCTAAGCAAGAATGAGACCCCATCTCTACTAAAAATAGAAAAACTAGCCAGGTGTCCTGGAGGGCACCTCTAGCCCCAGGTACTTGGGAGGCTAAGGAAAGCGATCTCTTGAGCCCAAGAGTTTGAGGTTGCTGTAAGCTATGAGGCCATAGCACTTTACCCAGAGCAATGGAGTGAAACTCTGTCTCAAAATATAAAAATAAAAAAATAAATAAAATATATTCAACTGGAATAATTTTCTGAATAATAGTAACTATATCTACTTTTGAACATGTACTTCTTATTATTCAGAAAATACTGCTGATTTGCTAGAGATGGAAAATAAATGGAATTGGTTGTGCTTTAAAATCCTTTTTTGCTTTACAATCCTTAAAAATGGATCACTGGATGGAAGTGATTTTCGGCTGCCCAAGAGTCCTGCCCCCTACTCAAGGCTGGGAATTTCCTCCATTTCCCAAAGTTCTTCAGTTCTGCTGATCTCCCCACCCCAGCTCTACAGCCTCTGGGGGGGATGTTCACCCCTGTACCTCTCTTAAAAACCTGTGGAAAGAATTGAGGAGGGCTAGATCTCCGCCCAAGGATTTTTGAGGATTGACAATCAGGATGTGTGATGATCTGAGTTATTTCCCAGGGTGCAAGGTCTTTCTGGGTGAAGCTGTTTGAAAAATTAAATCCTGCAATTCTTGGGCCTTTGAGATGACCTGGGAGATCAGAAGTCCTGGCATTTCCAGGATATGGACTATCATGGGAAAGTGAGGCTTTGAGGTAGGGATCAGTAATGGGTGTGGGGCAGAACCAGGCAGGAAAGAGAGCTCTGCTTCACTGTGTTCCCTGGGGTTTGGCCCTTTTTTATCCTGGGATTTTGCTGTGCCAACCTGTCCCTCCTAGCCACCCTGGTTAGGTGTGTGGTGGGAGGGAGTCACTCACCTGCCATAGGCTCTGATGTCTTTTGGGACTTGCGCCCACTTAACTCCAGAAAGGAGTTGAGCCATGAGGAGGCACCCAGGCGGAGGTCTCGGAGGAACAGGGCTGTGTCCCGCCGCACCAGTCCCATCACACCCAAGGCCTTCTGGTCTGGGTCAGAGTGGTCCTCTATTTCCGCACCTATAGAGTATATGTGGGGGCTGAGTTGGACTCCTCTCTTTCTGGGCCTAGTGTTAACACCCAGAACTTTAGGCATTATGTCCTCCAGAACATATGCCTATCTGTTTGCTTCAAAAAGAGTGGCATTCTTCTTACCCGACCCCTCCTTCCTTAGTCCCAGGAGGCCGGTCCCCAGTCCCTGTAGAACCCAGACATCTCAGCACCTTGCTCCCCTGCTATGAGGGTGTGGGCCTCACCAGCATAGGCGCTGACACACTTGGAGAGCACGCTGAGGGGCAGCAGGGGGTCCATGAGGCTCAGAAGGCGGGAGGGAGATGCGGCGGACTGCAGCATCGTTGCAGGGTAGGCTGCCATGATGCCATCTGGCACCCGCACCCCGTAGGCTGCTGCCCGAAGGGACACAGTGAAGCAGAGGTTCCCACCTGCACTGTCTCCCGCAAGGCATATTCGTTCCCCTGTTGAGCCTGGTTTGGAAAAGGCTTGGTCACAGCTTGGCAGGGGCAGGAGACTGGGGAGGGAGGGCAGGAGGCTTTCAAGCTCTGGGCTAGGAGAACTAGGGCCCCTGGGGTTTCCTGAGGTCTAGCAGACTGCAATTTTAGAGACTGGCAAGCTGACACAGGGATTTGGAACCATTTGGTAGACAATGGTCAGATGATCAGGAAGACTTGGGACCTCAGGAAGCTCTGGGAAATCTGGGAGGCTAGAGGTCCACAAGGCAGGGGATGGGAAAGTGGAGCTCAAGGCCCTGATAAGGATGGGAGGGTCTTGGCTGGGCCACAGTTCCTGTGCCTAGGAGGTGGCCACACTCTGTCTATGCCTCAGTGTCTTCCCAAGAAGTTGGTATTTGAAGAGGGGGGTTAGAGGAGCTGAAGTATGGGCCAGGGTATAAGTCCAGGAGGCTGGGAGGACAACATAGCCTGCAGCAACCAGAGGAGGAACACAGAGGCAGGAGGGTAGGTGGGAAATGGGCTGAAATGGATGAGGAGAGGGAGAGGATGGAGAGTCAGGCTGGAGTGAGGCCACAGGAGTTAGAGAGGAAGTGGTTAAGTGGGAAGACTGGGGCAGGCCTGGGGAGCTGGTAGCAAGAGATAAGGGTCAGGGTGGGTAAGGGGAGGCAGGGTGCCAAACTGAGGCTTGAGGAACCTGTGGTAGGTTGGGGTGGGGCTGGGAAAATTGTGTTCATACAGCATGGGCCAGGGCTCACCTAGGAGTTCACAGTGCTTGATGGCCCAGCAGTAGGCGAAGAAGCACTCCTCTAATGCACGGGGGAAGGGGGCCTCAGGAGCCAGGGAGTAGTCAATGGAGATGATAGGGGCACCCAACTCCTGGGCCCAGCTTTTGAGGTAGGGCTCATGAGATTTGGAGGTCTGGGCCACGAAGCCGCCACCGTGGAAATGCACTACCAGGGACCGCGAGCGGGGTGCCTGCTGGGGGCGTGGCCACAGCTCCAGGTTGCGCTGGCCCTCACACTTCAACAGGGTGCTGAGCTCCTCGCTGTCCTGCGGGGTGAGGAGGGAGGAGGTGGGTGAGAATGGACAGGCCTATCTGGGCTGTGTTCCTCTGAGGGGATGTGCTCAGAGGGACAGGATGGGGGCAGGGGTAAGCAGCAGAGGTGGAGAGCATGGGGAGGAACTAGGGAGGGGGCTGCCCATGCTCCCCAGCTCTGGGCCTGTACCCAGCTGAGGCTGGGACCCTACCTGTCCTTCACGCAGGTCATAGGAGATGAGCCTGACGAGGACAGGTCCAGGGCCCGTGTGGGCGAGAGGGGGTGAGATGGTGACTGTAAGTGTGGGGTCAGCAGTCAGTGGCATCTCAAAGGCCTCAGGTGGCAGGCTGAGCAGGCGGCTCACCCTCACGGTGGCTGATGCCATGTTGGCCAGAGACTGGTGGGAGAGAACAGAGGGGTTCTGAGGAGTACTGCCAACAGAAGACCTCCATACCTCCCCTCTGATTCTATCTCTCTCCTCCTGTGCTGCTACTCCTGGGCCTGGAGTCCTGCAAAAACCTACTGCGGCTTTGGATGGGTCTCTGGGCCTCAGAGTCCCTACCTATAACAAACTCACCGACAAGACCTCGATCTCAGTGATATTCCAAAAGGCTTTCCAGAAGTGCACATCGAGGTTCTGTGTGATCCGCTCAAATTCAGACCCACGTAGCTCTGGGTCAATGGCAAAGCGGCCACTGGTGAACAGGGAGCTGGCAGTCACACCTGGGAGGTACAAGGAGTGTCAGGAGCCCTGGTGGGTCAGGGTGCTTGAGCAGGGGTGGAGAGGAGGAGAGAAATGAAGGCCAGGAGAAGGGTCTGGCAAGGACTCACCGAGGCCAGTCTCGTTGCGTTTGTAGTGCTCTCCAAAGGATACCAGCCCAATGGAGATGGTCTGCAGGAATGGCCGGATGGCAGGCGTGAACTGTGAAGAGATGCACTGTCACCCATCCATCCAAGAGAAGGACAAGGATGTATAGGGGAGAATGTTCATTCAGTAAATATTTCATCATCTTCTACCATTTGATGGTCATAGCTCTAGTTCCTTAGTGGACCTGATGTTCTTCCAGGGAAGACAGATGATTAGCAAATAAGGCCATATGCAATATAATGTCAAAGAACGATGAATGATTTGAAGAAAATGACAGTAGGTGGAGTGGACAGAGAGTGAAGAATAGGGGTGGGGTTGCTTTGATGGCTCTTGGATGATCAATCTAAATAGAACGAGGGAAGGGTGTTCCCTGCAGAAGGCACAGCAGCATAGGATGCACATGGGCTCAGAAGTAGGCCTGGGGGAAGGTGAGAGCTGAGGGGCAGGAGGGAGGTCAGAGGGGCGAAGGGGGCTCATCAAGGGCCTAAGCTGAGGAATTGGAGTCTCATTCTTTTTTTTTTTTTGAGACAGAGTCTCAAGCTGTCACCCTGGGTAGAGTCACAACTCACAGCAACCTCAAACTCTTGGGCTTAAGTGATTCTCTTGCTTCAGCCTCCCAAGTAGCTGGGACTATAGGTACCCCACCCCCCCAACGCCCGGATATTTTTTGTTGCAGTTGTCATTGGTGGTTAGCTGGCCCAGGCTGGGTTTGAACCTGCCAACTTCGGTGTATGTGGCTGGCGCTGTAACCACTGTGCTATAGGCGCCGACTGGAGGAGTCTCATTCTTAGTATGGGGTGGAGCTGCTGGGGAGTAAGATGATGTGGGGACTTCATGAAAGTTAGAGGACAGGGAGATGGGGCAGCAGGATGAAAGAAAAAGGGAAGTGGTCAGCCAGCCAGCCAGATACAGAGATCTGAGGTAGAAAGACAGCCAGAAGGGGGAGTCTGAGGCCTAGAGACGGAGACAGAGAACCATGACCAAGGAATGGGGAGACTCAGCATCTGAGAACAGACAGGCAGTTAAGAAATGACAGTGATAAATAAAAAAATTAAAAAAAAAAAAAGAAAAAAGAAACTACAGTTGGAAAAAAAAAAAAAAAACAACAGTAGAGACATAGGATCAGAGGAAAGAAAGGCACTGGAGGCTGAGGCAAGGGTCCAGTGGGAATCTTCTGTTCATTTAACGAACACTGGCCAAGGTCCTACCACATGCTAGACCATGGAGCAGAGACTGAGAAAGGGGAGGCTGATATTTTAGAAGGGAAATGGCCCTGCACCATAGCAGAGCCGGGCCCTGCCCCTGGCCAGAGGCCTAGTGGGCCAGAGGGCACAGGGGTGCCTGGCCATTGTGGCTGGGATGCCAGTTCCAGCGGCCCCAGAATCTCTGTCTCATGACTCCAAGGTCATGGCTGGGGCACAGGGAGCTGCTGGCTAGGCTGATTAGTATTTGTGGTTCAGCCTGGATGAGGGGAGGTTTTCAGGATCACTCAGGCTGGGTTGTTGATAGGCAGGCCCTCAGGGAAGCCTGAAGAGTAGGGTGGGGAGGGGAAGGCTGACGGGCTGCCAAGCTCAGCCATTGTTGAGGTTGGGGAGGCCCAGAGAGGGTGGGAGAGACTACAGGGTCACACAGCTCCAGACACTCCTGCTGGGATTCCCTGATGTGGCTGAGGACTGGAGGACCTGACACTAACAGGGGCAAGTTGGCTCTCTGCTGTGAGCCTGGTGCCTCAAGGCCCTCAAATTGTCTGAGTCCTTAAACCACTTTTTTACATAAGTCTGACCTCCTTTAGGCTGCCTCACTTACAATGTGTTGATGCGCTGTTTCTCTGAGCATGGTTTGGGATGGGCAGAGGGAGGAGGCGGCCTGGTTCAGGGAGGAGAGGCCACAACCAGGCTTCCTCACTGTCACCATCTCTGATAGGCTCACTGGCCCTCCCCGCCCAGCCTGAAAATCCTGTGATTCTATAGCTCCTCAAATGAGTAGAAAAGCCCAGGCTACATTCAGCAGCTACGGGTTGGCACCCTCTCTCCCTCCAGGGCTCCAGTGGGCCTGACTACCTGGTGTACTTCAGAATATTCTTTTGAAAACAACGCCTCTCTCCTGGGGGGTCTCAAACTCAAATGACTTCAGGGGCCAGACAAGTAACACAAAAGAGTGAATGACTCTCCTGAGTATGGGACAGTAGATAGTAGTGGATGTCCTGGTGAAAACTATGTAAGCTGATTTCTTACTACACAGCAGTTCTGGTCCAAAGACCATAAGTTTGCAGCTCTCTCTGTCTTAGCTCCAGTAAACTTCCTCTTTCTGTATCTGCTGTTTTCTGAATCTACTACTGACCACTGCAGTTATTTTGATGCACGACTGGGCCAGGCTAGTGGCCACAACATGCCTTCACTGTAGGCCCAGAGAGGTAGGGCAGTGGGCTCACCTGGAAACCCAGGCAGCGGCCATAGAAGCAGCCCTTATGCAGTGTGACATATTCCCGCAGGAAGTCGGCAGTGAGCCCCTCCTCGCCCTCGAAGAAGAGCCTGCCTGGTCGATTGGTAGCCAGCAGGCGCTGGGCGTAGTAGGTCAGAGCGCGGAGCTGGGTGAGGGCAGCCAGGTAGGCCTCCAGTTCGGCCAGGTTGTGGCTGGTGCGGAAGAAGATGCTACGGCGGTTGGAGGCTACGTAGCGGGATTTGTGCAGCAGGTGCGCCAGGCAGCAGCGGGCTGTGTGCACCAGGCTGCGGTACCCATTGGCTGGTGTCTCTGCGTCCAGGTCAAAGTGGTGTGCCACACCCAGCAGGCGGCCCAGGACTGGCTCTAGCCCCAGTGCCTGCTCCCGCACACCAGCAAAGACACCCGACAGCCTCCGTGCTGTCTCCCCAGGGCCCTGGCTGGAGAAGAAGGCCATGTTGTCCTCTGCCAGAGTCACCAGCGACTGTGTCATTGTGTGCAGGTCCATGTTGTGTATGAGCCTTGAGGCTGTAGGTAGGTGGGGAGATTTGTTAGGGCAGGGGCAGGTCCCTCCTTGCTCAGCTGGAGCCCAGGAGTCCAGGCCCAGCCTCCTCGTCCCTCAGACACAGGTGGCAGATCTCTACTCTCTCCTCTTTCAGTCAAGCAGCCCAGGACCCCAGGTTCCTCCTCCCTCAATCTAGGCATCCACCCCCTTGTCTCCAGGACTCCGGAGTCTGGGGCCCCATCCCTTTTCTGCTTTAGGACCCATGAAGCCAAGTGCCCAGTGTCTTCTCTCTCCTCAGGACCAGGCATTTGAGCCCTCAGTCCCCTGTTCCCTCAGAATCCAGAGCCCATGCCCCCAGCCCCTTCTCTTTAGGGCCCAGGAACCCCTGATCTCACCTATTTGGAACTGAGAAACTTGCCATCCTTGGCCTTCTCCTCTCTTTTGAACTCTGAAATCCAGACATTCTCCCAAACCCATAAGACTCTGATTCCTGAGCTCCTACATCTCCCTTAGGACCCAAGAGTTCACCTACTCTTTCTTCTTCCTTCCAGAAACCCAAGAGTTCAGGCACTTGTTCCCATTTACTCTCTTGGACACCTCCTCCTAGGTCCCAAGAAGTCCAGACCCCCAGTTGGCTCCCTCTTTCAGGACCCAGCAGTCCCCTGCAGGCTTTTCCTCCCCATTAATATTTGGGAAAATTCAGCTCCCAGTCTACCCATTCCCATCTCCAGGGAGATGGTGCCCAGACTCAACTCTTTTCTTGAACCCAGGAATTTATAACTTTAGGCTTTTCACTGAGGCATCACTTCTGATTCCTTAAGTCTGGCTGTGGAACACCTGCCAAGCCCTGGCTCCCTCCTTGTTCCTCTGCAGAATCTCCCAAACTCAGTCTCAGTTTTCCCCTAGTTGGGTCCCCTGGCCTTTGTGTCTGTGTACTTGTCTTAGAATGCACAGCTGGCCCTGCACCCCTGCCTGGAACAGCAGTGCTCATCGCTGCCATTGACCCTGAGCTGCGCTAAGTGCTCTCTGTGTTTGCTCATTTAGTCACTAGCCCTCTGTGTCACAGGCTGCCTGGCTTCAAATCTCTATTATCTCTAGCATCCCATTTTACAGGAGAAAGTACTGAGACTCAGAGGTGTTAAGTAAGGAACTGAAGAGTGCACTGAAAGTGACAGAGCTTATTTGAACCCAGATTTCTGGGTCCAGAGCCATGTTTATGCTGGGAACCCTCCCAGGACTCTGAAGGCCAGATCCCTTCAGCGTCTGGCTATCAAAACCTCTGTCTGGGGTGGCACCTGTAGGTCAGTGGGTGGGCGCTGGCCATATTCGCTGAGGCTGGTGGGTCCTGGCCTGGACCATCTAAAACAACAGTGACAACTGCAACAACAAAAAAAGCTGGGCATTGTGGTGAGCGCCTATAGTCCCAGTTACTCAGGAGGCTGAGGTAAAAGAATTGCTTGAGCCCAAGAATTTGAGGTTGCTGTGAGCTGTGATGCCACAGTACTCTACCCAGGGCAAGAGCTTGAGACTCTGTCTCAAAAAACAAAAAACAAAAAGCCTCTGCCTATACTGGGTCTGACTCCCTACACTTCTGGTCCCTAGGAATCTCCCCTTCAGTATCCCCATCCCTCCCAGGCACTTAGGCCACCCCTCTTCTTGCCCTGTCACTCAGGTCCTAAACAAGTGGCCACTGTCCCCCTGGTGGGGATACGACCATCTGTCCCAGGACTCTTCCCTCCTGAAGCTAGAAGCCTGACACCTTGCCTGTTCCCCTCTTCCCGAAGAAGAAAGTATCTCCCCTCCCTTTCAGGCCCTGGGGTCCAGCAGCAGTCATTCCTGTCTCTTAGCTGGCCACATACTCACCCATCCCAGGCCTCTTCTGAGCTCCCTAGGGCTAGGACTGCTGGTCTGTGGCTCATGCCAGTAGTTGCCTGGGGTGATAAACCAGGGCAGGGGCTGGCCTGTTCAGGGTGTGGCCACTGAAGCCACCTCCCACCCAGAAAGGACAGTGAGGACCACGTGTTGTAAACAGAGTACAGAGCCCAACTCCCCGCCTCCCCTCCCTGCCTGCTCCCAGCTCCAGCTCAACTGGGCGTCCTTGTCCTCTGCCTTAGAACCTGGGGGTCCAGGTCCTAGCTCCTTCCCCCTCAGACCTGGGGGTCTCAGCCCCAGTTCTGAGCAAACTGTCCCCTCTCACCCAGCGAGGCTGCCTTTTCTCTCCCCAGAGTAGACTCAGGGAGCCAAAGGCCCAGTGATCTCAGCTCCCGCCCACAAGTCTGGCCCTGGCACAGCCAGTCCCAGCTGTTGGGGGAAGAGAGGAGGTAGCCAGCCCTGCTTGTCCCTCCTGGGAGGACAAAAGCCGATTAAGGGCAGTTCCAAGCTGAGCTGGGGGCCTGAGCCACAAGCCCTACTGGGTGGGGTGTCCACACTGGGCACCTTGTATCTGCCACTTATCCTTCACAGCATACCCTGCTGTGACTGCTATCCCTACTTCATATGTGGGGAAGCAGGCTCGGAGAGACCCTTCCCTTATCTTACTCCACATGCTCCTTGCCTGGCTGGCCTTTTTTCACCCTTTAGGCCTCATCACCTCCTCAAAGTAGTATACTCCAAGTGCTCCTCCCTATCTGAGATAAGCATTCCCCCATTATTTTCTGCTATTATACTTCCTCTTTCCTAGCATTTGATAGTTTTTACAATTATAAGTTTATTTGTTTACATGTTTGTTGTTTGTCTCCCCCAGGATAGAACCAGGTTTTATGAAGCCATGAAACCTATAAGGTATGTGGGTGTGGCTCTTTAGGAAGAATACAAAATTACAAATACAAGATTAGGTATAGAGCCTTGGCAGGGGCCTGTGCAGATAAGAGGCCCTGAGGCCTCAGAGTTATTTTCTTCCCTGGAGGTGAATCCTACCTCTGTCCCCTGGACTGTCATAGGTTAGGTTGTGCCCCCAGGACCTATCACGGGGGCTGGCATATTGTAGGTGCTCAACAAACATCTGAAGGAAGAAGGAAGACGTGAAGAGGAAGAGTGCAAGTAGAGGAGCTGAATGGGAGCTTGGGGGAGCCTCTCAGGGCTGGTGAACAGATTGACAGGTAGGCCTCGGGTGGCGGCTCTCAGCTTGTGGTTGTGGAGATGGATCACTGGCCTGAGCCACTTGCCAGGCAATCCTAGATGAGTCTGTTTTCTTCCAGTAGAAACTGCACTTGGCTGTCCTGCCCACTCAGGGTGGAGATGGGCTTTATTAGTGATACCCATGAGTGGCGTTTTCTGCATGCAGTTTGCTTTGTGGGCTGACATGGCCTTGCTGAGATGGTGTATTGAGTTATTTTTCTCTGCGGCACTTATCACAGCAACTTACTACAGGCATCTCTCCCTTGACTGTGCCTTACAAATATTGTGTTTTTACAAACTGAAGGTTTGTGGTAGCTGCGTTCAGCAAACCTGTCTGTGCCATTTTCCTAACAGCTTGTGCTCACCTTGTGTCTCGGTGTCTTGTTGTGGTAATTCTCACAACATTTCAAATTTTTCATTATTATTATATCTGTTATGGCAATCTGTGATCAGTGGTCTCTGATGTTATTATTGTAATTGTTTTGGGGCACCACCAATAGCACCCAGACAGGGCAACAAATTTAATTGATGAATGTTGTGTGTGTTCTGACTGCTTCACTGACTGGCTGTTCCCCTGTGTCTCTCCCTCTCCTTGGATCCCCTATTCCCTGAGACACTCAGTATTGCAATTAGGCCACCTGGTAAGCCTGCGACGGCCTCCAAGTGTTCTAGTGAAAGGAAGAGCTGCACATCTCTCACTTTAAATCAAAAGCTAGAAATGATGAAGCTAAGTAAGGAAGACACATTGAAAGCTAAGTCATACCTAAATTCAGGACTGTTCTGACAAACTGCTGGCCCTGCTGTGAATGTAAAGGAAAAGTTCTTGAAGGACATTAAAAGTACTACTCCAGCAAACACAAGAAACAGTGGCTGATAGGGAGAGAGTGTGAGTGGTTTGGATAGAAGATCAAACCAGCTACAACATTCCCTTAAGCCATGGCCTAATCCAGAGCAAGGCCCTGACTCTCTTTAATTCCATGAAGGCTCAGAGAGGTGAGAAAGCTGCAAAAGAAAAGTTGGAAGCTAGAAAAGGTTGGTTCATGGGGTTTAAGGAAAGAAGCCATCTCTATTTAATGTCTAAGTATGAGGTGAAGAAGCAGCAAGTGCTGATGGAGAATCTGCAGCAAGTTATGCAGAAGATCTAGCTAGGATAGTTGATGAAGGTGGCTACACTATGCAACAAATTTTTAATGTAGATGAAACAGCCTTATACTGGAAGAAGATGTCAATGGGGTCTTTTCATAGCTGGAGAGAAGTCAATGCTTGGCTTCAAAGCTAAGGGCAGACTGATTCTCTTGTTAGGCATGAATGCAATTGGTGACTTTGTTTACCATTCCTAAAATCCTAGGGACCTTAAGAATTATGTTAAATCTACTCTGTTCTATAAATGGAACAACAAAGTCTGGATGATAGCACATATATATACAGCATGGTTGACTGAGTATTTAAAACCCACCATTGAGACCTGCTCCTCAGAAAAAATACAAAATATTACTGATCATTGACAATGCACCTGGTTCACCCAAGAGCCCTGATGGAGATGCAAAAGGAGATTAAAGTTGTTTTCATGACTGCTAACACAAGGCCCATTCTGCAGGTAAATTTTGACTTTTAAGTCTTATTATTTAAGAAATACATTTTGTAGCTGGGTCCAGTGGTGCGGTGCCTATAATCCTAGATGCTTGGTAGGGTAAGGCGGGATGACTGCTTCATCTCAGGTGTTCAGGGTCATCCTGGGCAACACAGCAAGACCCTATTTCTTAAAAAAAGCCTCCCACACAAGAAAGACATTTCATAAGGCTCTAGCAGCCATACATAGTGATTCCTCAGATAGATCTGGGTAAAGTAAATTGAAAACCTTCTGGAAAGGATTCACCATATTAGATGCCATAAAAGACATTTGTCA